AAAATTGAGGCATGAAAATCCATACAAAAGATCAACAAAACTGAAAGTTGGTTCTTCAGAAGATTAAACAAGTTTAATAGCCTGGTGGCTAGATTTATAAAGAAAAAAATAGAGAAGACCCAAATACACCCAATCAGAAATGACAAAGGTGGCATCATAACTGACCCCAGAGAAATTTAAAAAAAATTTCAGCTGGGCAAGTTGGCTCATGCCTGTAATCCCAACACTTTGGGAGGGCGAGGCAGGCAGATCACCTGAGGTCAGGGGTTTGAGACCAGACTGGCCAACATGGTGAAACCTCATCTCTAGTAAAAATACAAAAACTAGCCAGGTGTGGTGGCACATGTCTGTAGTTTCAGCTACTTAGGAGGCTGAGGCAGGAGAATCGCTTGAAACCAGGAGGTGGAGATTGCCGTGAGCCAAGATCGCACCACTGGAATCCAGCCTGGGTGAGCAAGGCTCTGTCTCAAAAAAAAAAAAAAAAAATTCTCAGACTGCTATGAACACCTCTCTATATACAAACTAGAAAACCTAGAAGAAATGAGTAAATTCCTGGAAACACATAGTCTCCTGAGGTTAAACCAGGAAGAAATTGAAATCCTGAACAGACCAATAAAGAGTAATAACAGACCAATTGAATCAGGAATAAAACACCTAAAAACCATAACAGCCCTGGACCAGATGGATTTGATTCTACCAAAGGTGCAAATAAGAGCTAGTACCAATCCTACTGAAATTATTTCCAAAAATCAAGGAGGAAGGACTCCTCTGTAACTTATTTTATAAGGCCGGCATCATTCTGATACCAAAACCTGGCAGAGACACAACAAAAAAAGAAAAATTCAGGCCAATATCCCTAATGAACATAGATGCACAAATTATCAACTTAGTACAGCAAACTGAATTGAGCGAGCAGCACCTCAAAAAGTTAATTCACCATGGAGAAGTAGGCTTTATTCCTGGAATGCAAGGTTGGTTTAACATATGCAAATCAATAAGTGTGATTTATTATGTAATCAGAATTAAAAACAAATGCCACATGATCATCTCAACAGATGCAGGAAATACTTTTGATAAAATTCAACATCCCTGCATGTTAAAAACTCTCAACAAGCTAGGCATTGAAGCCACAAACCTCAGAATAATCAGAGCCATATATGGCAAGCACACAGTGAACATCATAGTGAACAGGCAAAAACTGGAACCATTCCCACTGATAACTGGAACGAGAGAAGGATGCCAATTCTTACCACTCCTGTTAAACACAGTATTGGAAATTCTAGCCAGAGCAATTATGCAAGAGAAAGAAACATAACACATTCAGATAGGAAGAGGTCAAACTATCTGTTTGTAGACTGTATGATTATCTAGGAAACCTTACATAGTTTCTGTCCAAGAGCTCCTACATCTGATAAAACAACTTTAGGAAAGTTTCAGGATATAAAATCAATGTACAAAAATCAGTAACATTTCTATACACCAAAAACATCCAAACTGAGAGCCAAATCAATGCCATTCACAATAGCCACAATAAGAATAAAATATCTAACATTTAACCAAGGTGATGATAGGTATCTACAATGAGAATTACAAAGCACTGTTGATAGAAATTAGAGATGACACAAACAAATGGAAAAACATTCCATGCTCGTGAATAGGAAGAATCAATATTGTTAGAATGGCCATACTGCCCAAAACAATTTATAGATTTAATCCTATTCCTATCAAATTACCAACATCATTTTTCACAATTCAAAAAAAAAAACTATTCTAAAATTCATGTTGAACCGAAGAACCTGAATTGCTAAAGCAATCCAAAGCAAAAAGAGCAAAGCTGGAGGCATCACGCTACCCAACTTCAAACTATACAAGGCTACGATAACCAAACAGCATGGTAAGGGTACAAAAACAGACAGGTAGACCAATGGAACAAAGTAGAGAACCCAGAAATAAAGCCACACTGTCTACAGTGACAACAATGGGGAAAGAGCTCCCTTTTCAGTAAATGGTTCTGGGATAACTGGCTATCCATATTCAGAAGATAGAAACTGGACCCCCTTCTGTCACTATATACAAAAATTAACACCAGATGGATTAAAGACTTAAATGTAAGGCCTAAAATAGTAGAAACCCTAGAAGAAAACCTAGGAAATACCATTCGGGACATCAGCCTTGACAAAGAATTTATGACCTAGTCCCTAAATGCAATTGCAACAAAAACAAAAGTGACAAGTGGGACCTAATAAACTAAAGAGCTTCTGCATAGCAAGCGAAATTATCAACAGAGTAAACAGAATAAGAGAAAATATTCACAATCTGTGCATCTGACAAAGTTCTAACATTCAGAGTCTATAAGGATCTTAAACACCCCAACAAACAAAAAACCAAGTAACTCCACTAAAACGTGGGCAAAGGATATGAACAGATACTTCTCAAAAGAAGACATACATGTAACCAACAAATATATTAAAAATATACTCATGATCGCCGATCACTAGAGAAATCCAAATTAAAACCACAATGAGATAACATCTTACACCAATCAGAATGGCTATTATTAAAAAGTCAAAAAACAATAGCTGCTGGTGAGAATGTGGCAAAAAGGAAACACCCTGCTGGTAGCAGTGTTAATTAGTTCAGCCCCTGTGGAAAGCAGTGTGGAGATTTCATAAAGAACTTAAGAGAGAACTACCATTCAACCCAGCAATCCCTCTACTGGGTGTATACCCAATGGAAAATAAATCGTTCTACCAATAAGACACATGCATGCTTATGTTTGTTGCAGCACTATTCACAATAGCAAAGACATGGAATCAACCTAGACGCCCGTCATTGGTGGACTGGATAAAGAAAATGTGGTACATGTACACTATGGAATACCACCCAGCCGTGAAAAGAATGATATCATGTCCTTTGCAGCAGCATGGTACAGCTGGAGGATATTATTTTAAGCAAACTGACACAGGAACAGAAACCAAATACCATATATCTTCACGTATTAGTGGGAGATACACTTTGTTACACATGGGCAGGAAGATGGGAACAATAGACACTGGTGACTGCTTGAGGGAGGAGGGTGAGGGGAAGGTATGGGTTAGAAGGCAAACTATTGTTGACTATGCTCACTACCCATGTGATGGGATAATTCATACCCCAAGCCTCAGCCATACACAATTTAACCATGTAACAAACATACATATGTACCCTCAGAACCTAAAATAAAAGTAGAAGAAAAAACAAAGAAACAAATAAAAACAAAACAAACAAGTAAAAACACGATGTGATTTTCATGTTGTTAAATTTAGATTTGCTATTTTATTATTTGTTTTTGGTTAGTCTCCTCTGTCTTTTTTTTTTTTTTTTTCTGCTGTCCTTCCTCTTTTGGCTTCTTTAGTATTATTTAAAGAATTTTTAGAATTCTATTTTAATTCATATGTTGCTTTTTGGGCCTACCCGTTAAATCATTTTTTGCTTGAGGTATTAAACTATCAATTCTTAACATTTACATCTAATTAAAGTTAATATTGGTAAAAATTGTTGTAAACTAAAAATCATATAAACAAAGAAAATCAATACTTGTTTCTCAATTGTTTTTTTAATTGTAGGTTGCAGAAAAGAATGAAATCAAAAGGTATTTTGAGTCAAAACTCTCTGAAGATGACACAACACATTTCAAGCTGCCTAAATATAGACGTTTATTAGAAACATTTTTCAAGTTTGTAATGCTGATTGACTACATATTTCAGGAACTCATTCGTCAACTTATGAACACTGCAGTCACACTACTTTTGGAATTATTTAATGGTTCTGCTGGAATGCCATTTTCAGTGGAAAAAAAGAATGAAAATCTCATCAGGTAAATTATTTTTTTGAACTCAAAAAGTAACTTACAATTATAATATTTTAACATATTGCCACATATGGAGGAAATATTCAATAATTTAAGCTAGAGTTTGAAAATTCTCCTGGTGGCAAAGTACATGTACTCATTTTTGCTATTAACAGAAATTATTATTTAGTAATACCTTACTTAATATTGGTGCTATAGGATGCCCAGTAGAATTTTAATTTCACATAAATGATACATGATTTTTAGTATACTTTAAGTATTACCTATGTTAAAAATTATTGTTTATCTGAAATTCAGATTTCTCTGATAATTTAGCAAATATATATTTTATTTGTTATATCTGGCAATTCTGCGCCTAGGTATACTCTGTCTTCCAAGGTCAGAGTTAGTTTTTAAAGATAATGTGAGAATTCTGGAAGGAGCTACAAAGTCCAATTGGAATTTGAGTCAATTCCAAGAAATATCTATTGAATATTTTCCCAATGAGAAAACTATCTGAAAAATATTTTTACCTTCTAAACACTACTGTTAAAAACAAAGCATTTTTCTTATTTTCAACAACTAGATATATCTACCATAACTAGTGAAACAGGAATATTAATTGAAATGATGGCATACTTTGTAGCTGGTGAAACAGGACTATGAATTGAAATGATGGCATGCTTTAATTTTTATTTATCAAAATTTAATAATGTCATTTTAGGCTAATTACAGTTTTATAACTAGATAGCTGAAAATATATCAATTCAAAAAATTTTAAAGATTATTCAAGATAATATTTTGTTTTTCTAATTATTACTGAATCTACAGAGCTAACATCACTTATCTAAGGACTTCTAACTGGTTTGAGTCAGTGCCAGGATTTTAACTTATGTAAGAACACAACTATTTAGTGCATTATAATTTTATTTCCTTTAAAACAATGTGTGTGTGTGTTTAGGAGAGGTCTTTATATTCTTAACATAGTTTTTGAAAGATATTATTATAATTAATCATATTA